CCCCCAAAACCCCAAAACCCCAAAACCCCATTTTATCTAAATTAATCAAGAAGATTACACCAAAATGGAATCAGACCAACAAGTCCTTGCAGCAAAATTTAGCGCCCCTTCCAAGATTATTCTGAGTGGAGAGCATTCTGTCGTGTATGGTCATCCAGCTATAGCATTTGCAGTGGGTCAATCGTGAGAAGATCATGAAGAAGGGAAAGAAATTGATAAAAATATTGCTTACAGAACCCAATCTTCAATAATTGTCTATCACAAGACAGACACTGAGAGACCTTTCTTAAAATGTAGGTTCTGGTCATTAATAATATAGGGAAATCAACAATCTTTGAAACCATCTACAATGAATACTCTGACCTCTCCAGCCTAGAGAAGAGGAAAGATTTGGAAAAACTTGGAGCACAGATCTTCTTAGAGGCTGTCAAGAAAGGATGCGACAACAATCAAGACATTATTAATGAAATTGTCAGCAAGTATACATTCGATGTCACATTCGGGTTTGGCGTACCGATAGGAGCAGGTCTCGGGTCGAGTGGATCCTTCAATTGAGCAGCAACAGGCAGCATTTACATGATATTTAAAACTCTCTGCCAAAAAGAGCTTCCTTCTGAAATCACTGTTACAAGGGAAGATCTGGAAAAAGTTAAGGATCTCACTCATTTCGGAGAAAAACTAGTCCATGGAAACCCTTCTGGAATTGACAGCTACATTATCAGTGAAGGAGGAATCGTTAAATTCACAAAAACAGACGGAGAAATTCACTGAGAGAACGATTTCGATATCCCAGCAGACCTTAACTTTGATATTGTCTTCACTGGAGTCAACAGAAGTACTAAAACATCCTTAGTGAACATGCTGAATCTTAAAAATGCTTTCCCAGGTATCTTGATTGTGGCTTAATCACCTATAGAGGTATTTGAAAGCCTTCTAGGCTCCATAGCTACAGTTACAGGTGAATTTGAGAAGATGCTCAAGAGCGGTACTTTTGATGTCAAAAATGCATTGTACCTCACAAACGTAAACCACAAGCTGCTCCAGTCTCTCCAGTTGAGTGTTCCCATAATAGATGAGCTTACCATGATCGCTGAGGAGTACAAAGTCGGCCTCAAAATAACAGGAGCAGGCTGCGGAGGATGTCTCCTCGTAATCTACTCAGAGGACTCAGACATCTCTGGTTTCCACACAAAACTCGGCGACTATAAAGACAGAGGTGTGAGATTGATCAAAGCCGAAAAGAGCGACAAAGGATTTGCGGTAGATTCCTACAAGCTCTCATAACCAAATCCTGCAGAAAAATAAGGAATCTCAAAATTTATAAAGATATGGGGTTTTGGGGTTTTGGGGTTTTGGGGTTTTGGGG